ATGTGTTTCAGTTTCACCCAAGTTAAAAAAAAAAAATGGGGTAAATTGTTGGGGGATTTTGAAGTTACACAACTCTGAAGAACCCTAACTAATCTGTCACATAAGAAAGTACTTGTATAATATGTAATAAAGAATGTGGATTAAGAACATGCAACACGTATACAATGAACTAACTCAACCATGTATAACTCTCAGAATGAACCGACTCAACCATGTATAACTCTCAGAATGAACCGGATTGTTACGTCTCCGTTCGTTAGTTAATTTTCCGTAAATTCGTTCCGACGAAACTTTAGCGACACAAGTCCTTTCTTAAATAAAACTGGTTTATTCTTTCTGAATATAACTTTGCGATACACTTAATTTCAACAGTCGCGCTATAACAAACGCTATAATTCTCAAAGAACGTCTCACGTGCTCGACTTCAAAAATACTCAGTTCAATTACACATTGTTCCGTCACATTGTGACCGTCTTATATATACCAGACTACCCCCAATCTAGTAGTCTCCCGACAATTCACGAATGTTCGAGAAGGACGTGGCGTGATACTAGTCACGTGACCTCGCTGACGCAACAATATATATATAGTCATTGCATTAACTTCTTTGTTTATTTGTTTAATTTAAATTTACAATTCTCATGCATACGATATATTTAGAATTCTATATTCATTCACAACGATGACGTGCTTCTAGAGTTTCATTATTAAAAGTTAATATAACTGCTCAACTAAGTCTTTGCAAGAGTACACAAAGGTTCGCAGTAGGACATGTGATGATGTCAGCCATCTATTGGAGAAAACTATAATTACAAAAGCAAGCATATTCATAAATAGTGTAACCTGATAGGTTGCGAACAACAAATCAGTCATTAAAACTATAGGCCCATGATGGCTCAGTAGTAAGTCTGAGAGCTTATAACGCTAAAATTCAGGATTTAATACCTGCAGTGGACACAACTTAGATAGCGCATTGCTTATCTTTGCGCTTAAAATATACAAACAACAATCTATGGATGTATATTTTTCGAACACTTAGCCGTGGTAAATTGACATTTATCCCATCAAATTAAGAAATAATTTTGAAATTAATATTTACTTTTAAAGTTCTATTTTGATGTTTCACAATCAATATAATTGGTGCTGATTTGTTTTTGCAGTTGCTTTACAACCACTGGATTTATTTTTGCACATATTTTCATTAAAAGAAAACATTAAGTGCAATTAATCGTGATGATCACATAAAAATCGAAAACTCCGACTAACTCGTAATTGGCAGATGATGGCTCAGAGGTAAGTATGAGGGCTTATAACATAAAAAAATCATTATTTGATATCTGCGGGCACAGTGTAGGTAGCCCATTGCGTAACTTTGCGTTTAAAAAAGAACAAAGTAGAGACGTATATTTCTTGAAAATTCAGAAGTTTTCACCCATCAAATTATGTTTGATTAATATTAAGCACAAAGATACACAATAGGTTATCTGTATTGTGCCCACCACGAGTATCGAAACTCGACTTTTAGCGATGTGAGGCCGCAGACTTCCCGTTGAGCCACTGGGGGCTCATCAAATTAAGAAATAATTTTGAAATTAACAGTTAATGGGAAATGGGTTGCTTTTGTTATTTTTACATTTAAATTGATTGATGCTTGATTTATTTTTCAAGGCTGCTTTACTATCGCTGGATTTATTTTTGCACATATTTGTATTAAAATCAAAATGTAATAATTCAGTTGAGAATGTGTTTAAATAAATAGTGCTTTTACAAAATAAATAAATTAATTGAAAAAATTTAAATGCGCACATCCCATTTATGCGTGGGAAAAGTACATTTTATTTGTGTTGAAAGCTCTTTGACCGGTTTCTTGCGTCGCAAACGCCAGTTTAGTGTGTGTTGAAAATATATCGTTACCGTTAACTGTAGGAAACCAGTGGGAAACTTTATCAGAAGGAAGAAGTGTAACAATTTTATAATTGGAATTTACTTTCGTAGCGTTTAAGTATTAAAACCCATACCTTAATTTGAATTTTTATATAGGTAATTATAAAATTGCAATGAATTCCGCTGCTTCTGCTGCACTTCGAGCGGCTAAAGAGGCCTTACGAGGAGAAGTTAAGAAGAAGCTTTTGTCTATGTCGAAAGACGAAAAACTTAAGCAATCAAGGCTTATTGCTGACAAGGTCTGTTCAAGAGTAATGCTTTACCAGCAGTTATCTCTAAGGTTACGAAGGACGGTTAAATTTGTTCATGTTAGGCTTAATGTTCGCGCATTGCTCTGTATTTGAACAAACTAAGAGGAATTTAACCTTTAAGAGTAAGATTGAGAGTGTAGTTTTAGATATAGTGATGGCTTGATTTTAGAAAGTTTAAGCTAATTAATTTTTATGTACGTTCACTACTACATTTAAAATGTAACTTATAACTAATTTTTAATTTTAATGTCATAGCTAATGAATTGAAACTTTGAGTTTGATGTATTTAAAATTACACCACAAATTCACCTTACGATACAATTTCCATTAAGGTTTTATTTAGGTCATATTAATTACTATGTATCGATTTTCCGTGACATTAATTTATAATAACTTACTGGTTTAACTTTTTATTTTCATGTGATCGATTTGTGTTAATAAATTATTCATTAAGTTAATGATAAGAGAGATGTGATTAAAAATTTCTGTCACAAATTCTTGTAAAATTTTATTGTGTTGTTAAACTAAAAATATACTCCTGGTCTCTAATTATTGGGAAAAAATATATCTTCTTTGTGTATTTGTACTCTCAGAGAAAACAAATATTGTTTGGTTTTTGAAATATGAGCACTGTATATAAATGTTCCGTTATTATCATTATTATTACTATAAGCTAACATTCAACACATAGGGAACTTTAGGGGTGAGAGAAAATTAGATCCCATTGCTAAGCTCCCTCTCTATGTCACTCTCCTGGAGGTGCCCTTAAGCCTTTTAAGGGTACATTCCAGGGTTAGTGACAGTCAGCTCAGCAGTTATAAGCATACACACACAAGTTTTGTGTTCTGGTTTATTAGATTAATTAGTAAATTACATATATGTATAGAATTTAAGGTTACACAATTTAATTTTTTTTTCAATTTGATTTTATTGATATATATATATATATATTCCATAATAGTGTTTCACTACAGCATGTCACCATCAGCTGTATTGTTTTTCTTGAAATACATTTTCTGTACAGTTGTAAATAGAAACTCCATTATAATAATAAAAACAAATAATTTTAAATGTACAGATGATGTTACATTGTGAATAAGATTAGCTTTTTTATTACCATTACATTCTTAATGATGATTGTAGTACATTATAATTTCATTATTTAAATATATACAGCCATAAAGGTATTGGTTTAAAAACTACTAGCTCTATTTTAGTTAGTTCATTGTATATGTGTTATATTTGGTTGAGTTAGTTCATTGTATACGTGTTATATTTGGTTGAGTTAGTTCATTGTATACATGTTATATTTGGTTGAGTTAGTTCATTGTATACATGTTATATTTGGTTGAGTTAGTTCATTCTGAGAGTTATACATGGTTGAGTTAGTTCATTCTGAGAGTTATACATGGTTGAGTCAGTTCATTGTATGTGTTATACATGGTTGAGTTAGTTCATTGTATACAGTTATATTTGGTTGAGTTAGTTCATTCTGAGAGTTATACATGGTTGAGTTAGTTCATTCTGAGAGTTATATATGGTTGAGTTAGTTCATTCTGAGAGTTATACATGGTTGAGTTATATATACACACACACACAATATGTGAATAATGGAAAAAGTATAGAAATTACAGGGAAGAGCTATTAGAAAGTTAGTTTTTATGTATTAGATATAGGAAACCTACAACAAATTTTGATTAATATTTAAAATACAAACACTATTGTTTATTGATTTCTATAAATACATCGATTATAGATAGGGAACAGCAGTACAGTTATTCTGTAGCTTGACGTACACTGAGTGGTCACAAGTAAATAGACACCTAATTTTTCGTCATTTAACTGTTTTATGCTAACTAATTTGTGTT